ATTTAAAACTTCGTTCTATATGCCAGATCCAGGGATTACTCTATCTATTAATGACATACAAATAATATTAATGAATAAACACATAAAACCTATTTGAACTAAAAATATATGAAAAGTTAAGTTTAAAACTTTATATTAAAAGAATTATACTTACTTGATCGTCTCGTTTTCGATGAGAATGAGAATATCCTCCATCGGTGGCAGATATTCGGCATCCTTCAACAACAAATGAAATGGTTCTTTTATGCCAAATATCTTAGTGATCAATCAATAAAAATTTAGCAGATCCGACGCACATCGTGAAAAAACTTGGACAAGTCAACTTTCAGTCGAAAATGTGAGCGCAGCATTGTGATATCTTTGAGGTTAGCTCAAAGGAAGCTTCAAAACCGAATGCGCGATTGTCAAACCTTCGCTGTCGCTCATTACTCGACGTAAACTACCAACGTTGCGATCACGTTGCTCGTTTGACTCGAATTCATGTGCTGTATAATATATATAAAATAAATAAGCTAGCAATATTTTATTTTTATTTCACCTCCTGTTCTACCAATATTCTTCTCTCTCTTATTCCCTATCGCTTGCTCACTCGCACTCGCTGCTCTTTACTTCTTCAGCACGCTCGTAACGCCTCTAGTGTCGGAAAAACGAGAAGTACAAATCCCCTCTCCTCGGCGGTCTATTCTTCTCTTTCTTATTCTCTATCGCTTGCTCACTCGCACTCGCTGCTCTTTGCATCTTCAGCGCGCTCGTAACGCCTCTGGTGTCGAAAAAACGAGAAGCACAAATCCCCTCTCCTCGGCGGTCTAGCGTTTCTTTCTTACTTTCTTACTGAATCGTAATTTCTGTGATTCAGACTTTAATTTTGAAATATCTCCACTTAGAGACAACGTACACAAAAAGCACAACAACACTTTTCTTCCTATTTTTTAAGGCTGAATCGATTGGGACTAAAAAAACGTCGATCAGTTCAGCTATTCCTGAGATATGAATATCTCATCTCATTTCAACTCGCAGTTTCGCGTAATAAGAGGCACTACCGTGCCTCTTGATTCCGCCTGACTCGCTGCGATTTGGTACAGCTGACGCTTTATTTATACAGGGTGGGCCATTTTAATCCGTCCACGGGAATATCTCCTCAGGTTGGGGCGATAGCGGAAAATGCCTCGGACAAAAGTTGTAGGATAAGCAGGGGGACACTTAGCGGTGACCTTGATTTTGACCTTGAGGTGAAGGGTCAAGTTCATTTTGAGGCCAAACTGATTTTTTAAAATAGGAACTCCTATTTCCGACTACGGAAATGGAAAGTACGGAAAATTTCACGTCCAGATTGGTAATTCATGACTGTGGTCAAAATGACCTTTAGGGGTCATTTCAAGGGCAAATGCGTAATATTAACCAATTCACTCAAGTAACTCGTAAGCTAAGCGAGATAGTGAAAAATGTTTCAGACAAATGTAGTATTTGGAAGTGGACGTCATGACCTTGAACTTGACTTTGAGGTGATTGCAAGGTCAAGCTGAATTTTTAATTAAAATTAGTTAACAAGATTATCAATGACTTGACTCCTACTTTTAGCGTTACCCAGGAACAACGGCGTGGACGTAGTAGGGGGTATGTTCCCTTTAGGGTGTTTGATTCGCGCAAGTCCCCTTGTCTCTCACAGTTCGGGATGCTTGATTCACGTGAGTCCCCTTGCCTCTCACGATTCGGGGTGCTTCACGGAACATTTTAGAGCAGATTTTCAAAAACGTTCCCTTTGTTTAAAAAGTTTTTATATGCGCTACTGCAAAAAGTTCAATTTTCTAGTAAAAATGCCTTTCATTAAATGCGTTAGCTGTGATAAGCAAAAAAAGAAGTAAAGATGACAAGTTTTTTCCTGTTAACAATATTCAAGATCCATTAACAGTTATTAATAATATGAGACAATTGGGCAACTCAAAAAGACATAAGCTAAGTGAAATAAGTGATATTTCATCAGATGCTAAACTCTGCAGAGGTTGCAAACTCTGCAAAGGCATTTTTACTAGAAAATCGAACTTTTTGCAGTAGCGCATATAAAAACTTTTTAAACAACAAAAAAGCATAGATTTAAGTCATTGGCATGAAAAAACAAAGAGTACAAAAAAATCTTACCATTTATCATTAATAATATTTTTCAAACAACAATATTTCCAGATTTTCGAAACTGAAACTTTTATTTTATTACATTCGCGAGCGTACGATACAAATAAGATGTAGGATGGAATGGAATGTTAATGAAATGATGATCTGCTGATCGTCTTTTGTTTTCAGGGTTTCGTAACTCTAGGCCGAACTCTTTAAAACGAGACTCAGTCCGCTCGACGCTCACCGCTCCTAGGTAGAATGTAGGACCAATGTGAGGAAAAATAGATCCATTGTAGGACAAAATAGATTCTATGTAGGATCAAAGTAGGTTTAATGTAGTGACAAAGAAGATTTAGTGTTGGTTAAAAGTTAGTTAACCGTTAGATTCGTAATCAGCGACCCCGAAAACCCCCGAGTAACGAGTTTCAAGTGAATCTGATGAATTTAAGAAAAATTCGTCCGCCATATTGAATCCGCCATTTTGAATTTTTAAAATCTGACTTCAGATTCGTAATCAGCAGCCAAAAATCTTAAAAGAACCATTTCGGCTGAATTTTTTGGACATTATTATTGGAATATAAATGTGAAGCTGCTATATTTTTTTATTGGACATGGTCAACTTTGACCCCCTATATTTCTTAAACGGGGCATATGCTCATCTTAAAATTTTGCAGGGATTTTTGGGTCATCATAAGTAACCATTTGGCATAAAAAAAGTTTCAAAAATCGAGGTACCGAAAACGGGCATTTTTTGCCGATACTTTTTGCTAACAAGTCTCTTTGATTATCAGGTGTAGTAAAAAGAAATCTATTATTTTTCCAATAGATGGCTTTAGTTATCTGTATCTCGCGTTGTATAAGTCCGATCGGGTTCCACTAGATGGCGTTAGAAAGATGAGATTTCATACTAAAAAAACTTTTCTGACAGTTTTGTGATTAGTTGATTCAGTTTTGTTTGAGCGCGCGTCAAAGATAGACTAAAGAGAAAATACGCTATATTTTACAGTTTTTCTTTGATAAAGGCGAAAACGCAAGCCAGGCGGCTAAAAATGTGAATAGTGTTTATGGTCCTGATACTGTAACAGCCAATCACGCGCAATTTTGGTTTCGTCGATTCCGTTCCGGTAATTTCGATGTCAAAGATGCACCATGCACTGGAAGGCCAATTGTCGAAAAAATCGATAAAATCATGGACATTATCGAGTCCGACCGTCATGTAAGCACTGTTTCGATTGCCCAAGAGCTAAAGATTGCACAAAAAACCATTTGGAACCATTTGAATAAGGCTGGATACAAAAAGAAGCTCGATGTATGGGTGCCACACGAGTTAATGAAAATAAACCTCATGGACCGAATTTCCATCTGCGAATCGCTGCTGAATCGCAACAAAATCGACCCATTTCTGAAGCGGTTGGTCACTGGTGATGAAAAGTGGATCACTTACGACAACGTCAAGCGAAAACGGTCGTGGTCGAATCGCGGTGAGCCGGCGGAAACGGTGGCCAAGTCAGGATTGACGGCCAGGAAGGTTTTGCTGTGTGTTTGGTGGGATTGGCAGGGAATGATCTACTATGAGCTGCTCCCCTACGGCAAAACTCTTAACTCGGAACTGTACTGTCAACAATTGGACCGTCTGAAGGAAGCAATCGCCCAGAAGCGGCCAGCTTTGGCCAATAGGAGAGGAATTGTGTTCCATCAGGACAACGCCAGGCCACACACATCGATAGTGACTCGCCAGAAGCTCCGGGAGCTTGGTTGGGAGGTTCTTATGCATCCACCTTATAGTCCGGACCTGGCACCAAGTGATTACCATCTGTTCCTGTCCATGGCGAACAATTTTGCTGGTGAAAAATTCGCTTCAAGAGAGGCTTGTGAAAATCGACTGTCTCAATTTTTTGCCAATAGGGACGAGGGTTTCTATGAGAGAGGCATAATGAAATTATCTTCAAAATGGCAACAAGTTATCGAACAAAACGGCGCATATTTGACCTAAATCGGATCATTCTAACTATGGTAATTAAAGCCTTCAATTTCATGCAAAAATAATGGATTTCTTTTTACTACACCTGATATATGCTCCTCTTGTTGCGCGATGAGCATTTGATGGTATAAGGCCTTGAAAGCCTTCAACATCTTCATTACGCCACTTTCCAGGAACAATATCGCCATCCTGTGATTCCGAGTCCACAAAATTGGGTGGGCAATAAAAGCGATTTCCTGTAGGTAATGCATCGTTTTCTGTTTTTAAAAAGTTGTGAAGACAAACACATGCCATGACAATCTTGTCGATAGTGACAGGGTTCATGCAAATGGGTTTCCTGAGCACTCTCTATCGTGAAGCAAGGATGCCAAATGTATTTTCAATGGTCCTTCGGGCTCGAGATAGTCGATAATTAAAAATTTTCCGAATTTGACTTAAATTTCGACCAGCATAAGGTTTCATCATGTTATTAGTTAACTGGAACGCGTCATCTGCAACAAAAAGCAAGATGTTCTTATTTCGCTTCCAGATAATTTTGCAATTCCTTGTGTTAAGTCCAGCTCTTGATTTCGCAGAGCATTGCAGAATTCTGATCGAGAGAACATTCCTGCATCGTTATTACTACCATAGGCACCGATGTCGACCAGAGTGAATTTATATTTATAATCACAGACTGCCATCAGTACGATACTAAAAGTCTTTTTGTAATTATAGTATAAGCTGCCAGAGTTTGGCGGAGCTTGTATCTGAATATGCTTTCCATCTATGGCTCCTAAACAATGTGGGAAATTCCAATCCTTCAAAAAACCATGACAAATATTAATCCACTCTTCTTGTACTGGAGGTCGAAGATAATCAGGCGTTAAGATTTTTATTAAGACGTCACACGTTTCTTTTATGATTTTGTATGCTGTTGACTCCCCTATGCGGTAAGCAAAAGCGATTGATAATACTTGATCTCCCGTTGCAAGATATCTGTAATAATTAGAAAAGTAGTTCAATCATAAACATGAAATGTATGTATTATATGTAGTTCGCTATATTTGCTTTTATATAGGTATAGAATGAGCTGAAGTTTGGAAAAAAATCATACCTAAGTGTTATAGTAAAACGTTCTTCCACTGTCAAAGCTCTGACTCTTCTTAGTTAAGAACAGTCTCATTTTTTCTAATAACTTATTAAAAATTGGAAGTGTTATCCTTGTATATCGGAAGAACATTTGTGAGTCATCTTTTATTTCTTGAAGTAGGTCTCCCATCAGTAATCTCCCATCAGGATGCCTACGATTAATAGGTCGGATCTACCATTGACGATTCAACCACTTTCCAGATTTTTTCCTCCGTAATGCTATCAAACCCATAGTCGCAATCAATAGTCCTGTAAATAATATATCCTCTTCTGTCATTTGCCAGTGTTCAACAAATTCCTTCAATAAATGACCTGAAAAATGGTTTTATTTATACGTATATACAATTACTTCTGTGCAATGTTCCTTTACAAGATATACGTGACTTAGGTTTGTTACTAAAACTGGCAATTTTTTTCCTAATTGTCATTGAAAGAAATATTAATAGAACACCTTACTAAAACAAAATCTAAATGATGCATTTTTTTTTATAAAACACTCTTTGTTATCAAAGTGTCAATGATTCTAATATTCATATATCTAAATACATTTTATATTATTGTAAAATTCGAAATTCAATAAAAAAGAAGCATACTTACTGTTTGGTGGAATGGTACTAACGTTGACATTTCAGGTTAAACTTTACGAAATGCAAAGGAATCTTTCTGCATTTTCCATTGGCTGACTTTTATGTTTTACGCTAACTGTGTGTCATGGACTTTACGTTTTACATCTTAAGTTTACGTCTTACGTTCTTACGGAATTTTATATGTGATGGCCTTAACACTGCTTACTGCCATTGGCTGCATTCAGCAGACTCAACAGTTGGACAACATTACTAGATTTTCCACTGAATCTCGCTCCTGATTGGTAAATACTTCTGGGTCTATGAAGAATCTAAAAGAATGCTCCAATCACAGACAATAATCACTAAGCGCTCTCTGATCACTTTGTTCTACTGAACGCGGCCATTGTAGACCACGCTTTATATTTAAGCCGTCTTAAGGCTCATCTACATTAGCTGTAAGAGTAAGGCCTAGTACACAATGCAAAGGCATAGGAAATAGGAACAGGGAATGGGAACATGAAATAGAAACCTGAATATACTGTATAATACTGAAACACAATTGTCTCCTACGTTAACCAATCATTTGCTGTTGTGCTTATGTGCATGTGCTGAACGAAAATCTGCCTACAATAATATTGAAACCGAATTAAAAAGTTTTATTATTTAATTTCGATTTTTGTCAGACGAGATTTAAGTAGTAAAGGGAATTGCTTTCTACAATCATTAAAGTCGTAAATATAACATAGATCAACATGAACAAAGTATTTAATTATTATGCATTTTTTGTGTTATATACATCATAATATTTATTCACTTTTTTTATAGAACAAAGATAATTTTATGTTATTTCTGGTTCATGTGCAAATATTTGGATTATATCCCATACAGCACAGAAGTTGCAGCAACATTGCTACAATGTTGCAACAATGTTGCAATGTTGTAATAATGTTACAATGTTGCAGCAATATTGCAACAACGATGCTATAACTTCTGTGCTGTACGGGATGCCATTTGGAAAAGAAGAAAATATAAGCGTTGGATCAATAGGAGATGGTGGGTGCGACCCATAAACACAAGACGAGAAGAATATGGTGATTTTACAACCTTTTTTGCGGAGTTGAAGGAAGATTGTGATCTTTTCTTTCGATATACACCAGAGCTCGGCAAAATATGCACGCGACGGCCGATTTTCGACTATCTCTGCCCACCGCTATTCCCTTTACTTCGCCGCTCCGCGCGCTGCCTACAAGCTGCTCGAGCTTCAGGAGCGTGTTTCCAATAGTTTTCACGTCACCCATGAGGTACTATTGTTGACGCGTTTTTTTTTAAGTGGTATCCCCAGCAGACCTCTTCATTTTTCAAAAATAAAATTTACAAAAAATGAGAAGTGTTTTTCTTTAAGCGACGATTCCTTACCACGTCTTATGCGGCTCGCTACATGCAATATCCAAATTGACGTTTCCACTCTTACCAATAAAAGACGCCGAAAATCGAATTGAATATTCTTCATTTAACATATTTTATTTCGCTTCTGTTCAATTAGTTACGGGTTATAGTCATCAGTGGATTAGGCTTACTGGGGATACCACTTAAAAAAAAACGCGTTAACAATAGTACTTCATGGGTGATGTGGAAAACTATTGGAAACACGCTCTTGAGACTCGAGCGGCTTGTAGGTAGCGCGCGGAGCGGCGAGGTAAAGGGAATAGCGGTGGGCGGAGATAGTCGAAAATCGGTCGTCGCGTGTACATTTTGCCGAGCTCTGATACACACGAATGGATGTCGAAACATTTTATGAATTACTGGAAATGGTGCAACCTTATCTACAGAAAAACAGTTTACGAGAACCAATTTGTCCAAAACAATGGCTTGTGATTACACTTAGGTAAGATAGATATATTATTCTAATAATACATTATAATAATAACAAAGTACAATATTCATTATTATTTAAACAATTTTATCATGGATATCTGGCTAGTCGCGACCAAGTATTGTCATTAGCTCTCGTTTATAGAGTAGGAATGTCTACTGCTCATAAAATAATAAAAGAAATCTGTGAAGTTATCGCCAGTGTTTTAATGGGAGTATATATGAAAACTCCTTCAGAAGATGAATGGAAAGATATGAACAGAGATTTTTTAACTAACTAACTGCGACGTACTTGATTGTTGTAATGGAGAAGGGGTTGTTCTTGGCATCGGCGAGGTTGATTGTTATAATGGAGAAGGAGTTGTTCTTGGCATCGGCGAAGTTGGTCGTGCAACGGAGAAGGGGTTGATCTTAACATCGATGAAATTGATTGCTGTGACGGCGAAAATGCTGGTATATGCAATTTTACAGGTGCTGTTGGCTACAAACAATTTAATAAGTAAGAATAATAATATGAATAATAAAATAGTAATTCAATGGTAACAAATGTATAGTTAAGAAAATTATACAAATGATTTATCAGAAATAGAAATAATAAGAGTATACGGCTTTGGCCGATAACACACTCCCCCTTCCTGGGCTGGTGGGGGGGGGCCTTGGGAGCAGTGGTTGAGCTGCACTAGGCGACACACAGCAGTTATGTGTCCAGATGCGGCTCCCCTCTCCCCGTCCCTCCGTCCCCCATAAGTCCTGTGGTGCGTGGGGGCCAAGGCGGACGAGGGCCCCGTAACTGGGGCCAAAGGGGGTGGCGGTTTGGGAAAGGAGTAAGGAATGAGTTCTCCCGGCCGCCAATCGCTTCCCCCTAAGATAGGCATCCCCCTGGAGTTTTAGTCGGTGCGAGTCCGACATAACCCACGGGCTCCTATCCAGGGTCCGTGGGTTATAAGAGGTTTCTCCAGGATCACAAAAAAAAATAGAGATAATAAAAATAAATACCAGAGACTTTTATATAAAATAGGACTATTATATTGTTAAAATATACTTTGGCAGTATGTATTTTAGCACTTCCCGTGGGTGCCACCTTGTCGTGGTGTCCCAATGATGTACAGAGCTGTACCGGCGGGGGTTTCGGCCCCTGGCAGGTTCTACCATGCCGGAGTGGTCTGTACGGAGGGACTGGACCAAGAGCACCCGACCGGGCTGGTAGATCAGCCTGGTCTATGACTAGACTGGTCATAAAGCGAGTGGGAGGAGACTATCACCTCTGGAGGAATTGCACGCCGGTGCTCCGGCAGCCGACAGGGGTGACCTCCTCAGCACTCGCTTCGGGAAGCGGACCCCTCTCTCTGAGGCATTGCATGCCGGTGCTCCGGCAGCCAAAGAGAGAAGACCCCTTCCTGCTCGCCTCGATCTGTCCGTTATGGATGGATCGGAGATGGAGGGACGTACCCGCACCCAGGGCTCCACTCCATGGGGATCCTTCCCCATGGTGCCTGGGATGCGAAGGGGTGCTCCGGGCTGCTCGGACGTTTCCGAGGTCAGGGCCGGGGTGCCCTAATGCGTCCTGAGGGGTCTCACCCTTGGAGGCATTGCACGCCAGTGTTCCGGCAGCCGACAAGGGGAGGACCTCTCTCCCTCATCCGTCCCGGCCACGGCTGGGCGGATGGAAAATCCCACACCCCGGTCTGCACACCATGAGGGATTACCCCTATGGTACCCGGGGGGTGGAGGGGTGTCTCGGGCCGCTCGGACTTATTCCGAGGTCGGGGTCGAGACACCCTAGGGCGAAGAAGGGAAAAGACCCCACCTTCAGAGGCATTGCATGCCGGTGCTCCGGCAGCCAAAGAAGGTGAGCCTCCCCGCTTTCCCTCACCCGCCTGGCTTCGGCCAGGCGGAAAGAGGAACCCACACCCGGGTCTGCACACCATGGGGGCTTGCCCCTATGGTACCCGGGGGGTGGAGGAGTGTCTCGGGCCGCTCGAACATATTCCGAAGTTTGGGTCGAGACACCCTCATGCGCCATTATAGAGGACCCCACCCGCGGAGGCATTGCACGCTGGTGCTCCGGCAGCCGAAGGGGGAGGACCTCTCCCTCATCCCTCCCGGTCAAGGCCGAGCGGAGGGAGCAACCTACACCCGGGTCTGCACACCATGAGGGTTTGGAACTCCTCATGGTACCCGGGGGGTGGAGAGGTTTTCCGGGCCACTCGGACGTATTCCGAGGTCGGGGCCGGAACCCCTGTGTGCTGTGCCCGAGGGAATGCGATCGCACCGCCCTAAAGCGGACCCTCGGGCGGCGCGAGCACGCTGGATGCCATGGGGGAGGCGCTCCCGGTGGGGTGTGACACCGGTGAGCTACCTCCTTCCATGGGGCCCCCACGTGGCGGAGCTCAGTGCGGTGCCTATGTTGTCGGAGGCATGGGACCCCCGAAAGCGGTCTGGCCGTCAGAAATGGTGGTTAGGGCGCGTGTAGGGGGCGGGAGGCCAGTGCCAATGATGTATATTCCATCGGCCAGAGCCATATGCTGTTCCTCTGGGGGAACTCGGAGGCTCCCCCCTTTCCGGGGGGATGCGGGCACGCCCGGGTAGCGGAGCCACACTGGGTTGTGGGTTTCAAACCGAAAATGAATGAACCTATTATTGAAATCACGGACCTGGACTACGTTGAACAGACCCTGGCAAATTCAAGGAACACGCATGATTCGGATACCACTAGTGGATCCGAAAGGGAAGAAGTGAGTGGTTTGGTTGCGAAGGACCAACCTGGTCCTAGTTAACTTGTGAGAAGGGAGGGACTCCGCAGCGCAAGTCAACGCGGGAAAAAAGATGCGGTCCCCCTGGGATCTAGATCCAGGTCCAGGTCGCCGGTGAGGATGGATGAATCCTCGTTAGATTCTAACTCGTCTGATGAGGTGGGAGGGAAGGTAACCCCTGAGATACCCCCCCCAAGGAGGGAAATGGGATTTACCCAGGAAGGCGGATGGGGAAATAGACGTCGATAAGTTTGTAGGAAAGGTGACTAGAACTCGTGGAAGACCCGAGACGACGGGGGAATATAAGAATAAGAAGATATTCCTCGAGAAGAAGGAAGCTCTCTTGAGAGAAATGAAGGAAAGGAGGCTCTTGAGAGGGCTGGAGAATCCTTCGGAGGACTTCCGGCATTGTACCAAAAACTGGAAGTACATGGCGCAGGTCAAGAGATTGACCGACCACCTGGAGGAGGCCACGTTTAGGGATGTTGCTGCTTCTATGCTACAAGCAGCAATGAAAATATTAGGGTTCTCGGTTCGCTCAAAGAACCTCAAAGGCACATATGTGAAGGTGCTCTGGGATGCCACGGCTGCCATTTCA